CAATGGCAAATACCGCACCACTGTCTGCCTACCAACAATTTGCTGGCGGACCATAGCCAGGCCAACCTGGAGCAAAAGGGGCTGGCATTGCCCTGGTGTCAGCTCTGTCTTTGACCTTTTTCGTCTTGCAAGAAAGCTGAAACAATTGAGCACATTTTTTATTTTTATTTTTTCGAGATTTGAGCACATTTTTATGCTGTGCCCTATCACGTACTTCACTTGGAGATAGTGGGGCCAGGCATGGAGAAAAATGGGGGTGAAATGCCCCTGCCCCTGGTCTTGGCAGGTGATCGTGGCGGGCCATTGGCCAACGCAGGGGAGGACAGGCTTCGCAGACAACACGTACAGGCTGGGGAGGCGAGCGATGTTGTGGGCATTATGGTGGCCACGCTGGCTCCTTCAGGGCACAGAGATCACTGAGCAAGTCAAGCAGCAGGTCCAGTCAGAAGTGACACACAGATGGCTTTCCCTGTAGGCCCAACTGGATTTGTACCAACAGGCAGGGGATGTGCAAGAGAGCAATCACTAATTTCTGTAGGGAATGGTTGGGAGGGGACAGGGGGGTGTGGGTAGCTGAAGGAGAATGAAGTGGGGACAAGCCGGATGGTGATCAGAATTTGGAGGGTGTAAGGGATTACCGTATGGTGTCCAGAGACTGGGACTAACATTGGACCGTCCTTTCCAGTTCGTCCCCCCACAGATTTTCCCGACGTTTTTCCTCCCCATGCCCTATCCCTAGCAGAAATTCTGATTTCTTTTTTTTAATTTTAAGGCCCAAAGTCATGCCCCAGTGCCCCCCAGTGCCCCCAGGGCACAGCCTGGCTCGCACAGAGGAACACAGACTCCTGGCTAAGATGGAGCACGCAGAAGATTACAGAGAGTCGGAGCCGGGTTACAAATCTCTGATTTACTTTTGGAAAAGACGTGTGGAACCACTAGGGCGGCTTGTTGGTTGTGGCAGCCTGATTAGGGCTGAGGAGGTGGTTCGGCAATGGCATCCTCGGTTATGGCTAAACTCCTATTTTCAACTGTCATACCCTCCACTACCTGCTCAGGGCTCAGACAATCCCCTGGTAACAACGGCAATCAATGCTGGCAGGTTGACACAGTCAAGGCCAATTTTTGGGACGTATATTGGGACGCTGGACCCGTTTTCCAGCATATGCTGCTCCCCACCAATACATTGGAGCTCTTGAAAAAAAAAAACTTGGCTCATAAGCTAAACAGACTGGGGCTGCCAGGATAACCCCAGGTTGAATTGTGAGGTCCCCCCGGCTTCACCCCATCCTTTTCTCTTTTTTTTTCTTAACAAAAGCACAACTCAATCCATTATAATTGACAAAAACAGCATATACGAGGCCAGGGATCCGCACAAATCTACCCAGTGTTATCCTGGCAGCTTTAGCCAGTTTAGCTGAGGCAACTTGTTACCAGTCCTCTTACCTATCTTCGACCTTCTGCTACTACTACTACTTACTTTTACCTTCTACTGTCTTGTTTTTTTTTTTTTTTTTCTTAAGCCCAGGTTGTTGTAGAGGTGGGATACTAGACGGATGGCAGTCACCACAGTACTTGGCCACTCAGTTGTCCAGATGAACCCCTCTGAAGACTCCACCCACCCGTCTTATCTTTTTGCCCTGGCACACCCACCACCACCACCCCTATATGGGGAACGCGATTGCTGTTGGTTTTTGGTTTTTGTTCTTGGTTTCATGTTCTTGTAGTGCATTGCCAGCAGGGCGTATTTCACGCCTGGAACGTAACTGTCTCACTTAAACTCACACCAATGCTTCTTTTTTTTGTGTTTGGTTGGAAAGTGTACAGCTTTATTTGCAATAGAAAGGAAAGATAGGAATGGTACATTAAAAAAAGTACCATTCCTATCTTTCCTTTCTATTGCAAAGGAAGCTGTACACTTTCCATTCCTATCTTTCCTTTCTATTGCAAATAAAGCTGTACACTTTCCAACCAAACACAAAAAAAAAGAAGCATTGGTGTGAGTATGAGGTAAGTGAGACAGTTAAGTTCCAGGCGTGAAATACGCACTGCTGGCAGGGCACTACAAGAACATGAAACCAAGAACAAAAACCAAAAACAAACAGCAATCACGGTCCCGATATAGTGGCCAGATCCATTCCTCAGAGCACTAGTGCGACTTCCACCTCCGTAAGGGCCTTCCCGGACGTCCCTGGACTCAAAACTCTTAGTTTCTTTCTCTTTTTTTTCATTTTATAATTTTTTTTTTTTTTCTTCGGCCTCCAACCCTGCTCCGAGCGGCCTTTGCATTTGCCTGTGAAAGGTCACAAAATTCCAATTTTTCCCCCGGTACCACTACCTTTCCCACGGTGATGCTAAGCCATAAGTTGGGCCTTTTAATATCTGATCCGTGGTCCGTCGCGATATTTGAAAAACAAAGAATCACCGCTACAACACCCTGGCTTTGTCAAAAAAAAAAAAAAAAAAAAAAGAATCACCGCCAGGAGGCCTTCCATAATTTTCATCCGAATTTGAATTCAGAGGCCCGCGGCCCCCGGCCCCATAAACGAGAAGGTTAGTGGTTTAATCACGAGCTCGTTCATTAAAACTTCGACATTGAGACCGAGCACTCACACCTTCCCCGATTGCGCTGGGACAGTCACGCAGTTCCTCTTCGAACTCTTTAACTCCCACCTACCTTCCCTACTGTATTGCCTATTCTTTTTTTATCTTCTTTTTTGTACCATTTCTCGATTCATGCGTGTCATCCTTGCGCAGTGGCCAATGCTAATCTTCATTCACATTTCTCTGTATCGTTCCAATTTTGACATATGTATTACTTATTCTAATCCCTATCGAGAAGCGAGTCCTAGCCATGCCCTATACCTTATTCTTTTCTTTTTTTTTTTTTAATCCTATACCTTATTCTATTCAGCTACGCCCTTCTACCTTCGAGCAGCTATACTCAGACCCAACCCGGTCCGGCACCAGCCTCCATGACTGGTTGGAGCCCCAGCTCCCAGTGTCCAGGCACTCTTCGTCCGCCCCTCCGCCCCTAGGGGCCACTTCAATTACTCCAAACGCCTGGAAGAATATTCTTTTTTCTTTCTTCCCAGGATCAAGTACGAGACAAGAAACAGAACAGGAGAACATTTATAAAAAAAAAATAAAAAAGGAGAATATAATATGCGGGTAGCGGAAATCTTCCCTGATAACGTACATCTCAGAGAGATAAATGTCTAGAGATTTGTAATTAGCGGATGAAAAACTCCGCACTAAAAATGAAAAAAAAAAAAATCCCTGATACGGTTTAGAAAACTGTTACAGGGCGAAAAGGGAAGTCATAGGCCTCGTACAATATCTTTTTTTTTTTTTTTTAATCTGTCAATCCTTGCTATGTCTGGACCTGGTGAGCTTACAATATCACACAAGTAGCATGGAGACATCACGAATAGATTGGACCCTTCAGCTGGAGCAGACCGTCTCTGGTGGGGATTCCACAACCAACCTTGTAGATAGCCAACCCACTACGCAACAATGTTGCTTGAAACAAGAGTCCACACGAGCCTCCAAATGGGACTTTTCATAGTGACCTTCCACCTTCACTACCCCAGGCCTGAGTCAAAAAGCCCTTACTGCGTATGTCAGTGAGTGCTAAACTTCGGCTGCTGTGAACTGGTGTTTAAGAATTAAGGCTCCACTGAAGTGGTGCTTTATAAACCACCAGTACTGGGCCACAGCTATCGGCCGTGGAAAAAAATAGAGTAGACACGTTTCTAGTTCGATGAATTAGGGCGCTCCTGTACCGGCCCGTACATTTCCTAAAATCGTGGCTTGTTAACGGCCGCGACTTCAGGAAGTACTAGTGGTTTCAGAATCGATTAGGCCCTTTTGAACTAGTGGCTTTTTTTATAGCAGGGACAAGAGACAAAAAGAGAGAGGGAGAGAGACTCTGGTAAGCTGTTGATTCGAAGATAAAAAAAGCAGGCAAAAGAGAGAAAGACAGAGTGGGAAGGGGAGGTAGGGGCCGGGGGGGGCAGGAAAGGTACGCTTTCAGTTCCTTGTGTACAAGGTAGCATGCCAACAGTTCCACAGAACGAATGCAGATGCAGTAAAGGGATAGAGGACTGAATTTCCTCCACTGCATTTCCTGCAGCTGACAGGGCAAACACTTATTTTGTGGGGCAGGGGCAAACACAAGCACTGACACCGCCAGCAGTGCTAGAGAAACACATTTCCAGGGAAAGCAAACAAGGTACCGAAAGCATGCTGGTCCTTCCCTCTTCCACCTCTCTCCCTCCCCCCGCGCCCCTCTCTCTCTCTCTTACACTGTCAAGCACACAGATCAACGCAACAACTGCATCGCTAGGTCGATCGATCGCCGGCAACTTGCACACTCTGCCCCCGGCGTTCGCACATACAAATCGTAGTTCCTCGGAGGCTGCAAGAGGCGTGTATACATTGCTCGTTATCACGCCCAGCAATCAGCCGTGTGTGAGCGAAAAACAAGCAACAGCTATTGTACGGAAGGACGACTCGGAGGCTATTCAGCAACAAAATTAGATCGACTTCTATGGGGTTGCTAGTAGAGAAGGCAAAGTGTAGGGATGAGAGAAGGCAAGGTGAGGGGATGAGAGAAGGCAAGGTGTGGGGATGCATTCCGTCTTACCCTTGGCTTTCCATCCATTCGGCTATAACAACCATCCGGAACCTCACATAACGTGCACACTTAGGGGCAATCAACTCTGCCCACGGGATTCAACAATCAGATCTGCATGTAAGCGTGAACACAGGACCCGTTTTCCAGCAGGTGATGGCCCCCGGCAATACTAATGAACCTCCACAATACTATAAAACAAAAAACGTCAAGAAAAAAAAGGATCCAATTCGATAGATCATGTCTTCGAAAAAAAGCATTACATGAAACGTACTGGCCACATGGCAGACAAGTCTCTCCCGCATTGTTAACTGCAACTCTTCACAACTTCAAGTAAGAAAAAAAAAAAAAAAAAAAAAACGAGACACTAAGTATACACCGGCGTTAAGGAACTCGTAAATTAAATGCCTTCTTCCATCCTACGCTCGCCAATCGCCGAAAAAATATTTCAAGTCCGGGATCGCTGCCATGCCAATCCTCTCTCTCTCTCTCTCTCTCTCTCTCTCTCTCTCTCTCTCTCTCTCTCTCTCTCTCTCTCTCTCTAGGGGGGGAGGGAAAGAGGGAGGGATAAAACGGCCGGGAGAGAACGCTAGATTGATCACGTGGCAACAGAGAGAGAGGCAGAAAGAGAAGAGACGAAGAGTGTTGACATTGTAACGTAGCCATTAGGATGGCCCTCCCTCGTCTCAATGGACTGGTATTGTACAGAATAAGAATCGGACATAATACAAAAAAGAACAAAAACAACCACCAAACTTCAACTGGCAGAACAAAACGTTCACATGTCCAGATGTTTCCAACGTCAACTATGTCACCCCGATAAAAATACATGCCAGTCGAGCTCCGCGCAAGCCACACATGCACCGACGACATGGCACTATATGCAACATCGCACGACAGCAGAACAACACAGCCAAAACTAGTAACCTCTCCTGGCCTATATCGCCAGCTCCCTCTCTCTCTCTCTCTCTCTCTCTCTCTCTCTCTCTCTCTCTCTCTCTCTCTCTCTCTCTCTCTCTCTCTCTCTCTCTCTCGGACTGACAGCCGCTACGAAATACAAGTGCATCAACAACCCACAACAATATGCAGGGAAGGTTATCACAACAACCAACCGAATTGTAAAGTACAGAGCGCGACCGGAAAAACGCATGCCCAACCAGCTGACTCCTTTTCCCGATTTAGAATCCACTCAGTAGCTAGAACGACCGTGCAGCACGAATACGAGACACGTATGAGCGCTAAGCGAAGCGTGCTGCCAACTGACTATAAAGAGTTCCGTACTAGCAAAACGCATGCATAGAATGATTCGAAATAACAACCATGCAAGACTTACCTGCGTTCTTTCCCAAAGATGGGCAGGTCCTACCGCTAGTCCAGATCTTCCGCCAAGCCTGACGACACAGTTCCGATCCCAGTCCTCAGCAGAAGCCAACACTGCCCAACAAGACGTCCTGCACATACTAGAAAAATCGGGAACGGATGGCCAGCGGCCAGTTCAAGGCCTTCAGAAAAACGGCCCTAACCGGAGAACATGCTACCGGGCATCACGCATATGAAGGCACCATCTCACACAACGAAGACTAAGGGTAGATATAGCCCACGAGCTGACAACTAAACGGCAGCGCCATCCCTGACAAACCCAAGGTTTAACAACCCAAAAACCCTAGCATAATACCTCCCTGTTGCCTTTTCTAGGCCAGACACGGCCTTCACCACCATCGATTGATTAACCCCCCGCCCGAGTGCCCTTCTCTCTACGTCCTCAAGCACCAAAAAGTCGACACATAGCCAGCACACTATCAGCCGTCCAGACATCCCTCCGGATCTCTTCCAATCCAATTATGCCTCATCCTATTCTCTCTCTCTCTCTCTCTCTCTCTCTCTCTCTCTCTCTCTCTCTCTCTCTCTCTCTCTCTCTCACACACACACACACACCTGTCTCTTATACACATCTAGATGTGTATAAGAGACAGCTATTAGCGAGCCTCGGATCCGAAAGGATTACAAGCGCTCAGGCAAAAAATGCGAGACGAAACACGCCTGCTCGAGAGCGTATCCCCGTACACGATCTACAATAAGAATGGTCAGGCAACAGCACAGCGTACGACTACGTAACGACTACTCCCTCTGCGCCTTGCTCACAAAAATACACCTACTTTGAATCTTGAAACAATCTGCTACACCTATTTTCTCACGGCCGAAAATGTCCCGGCTCCACTCCTTCGACGATACTGACAACCCCTTTGTCTAAGGTCTAAATGCACTCATAGGGCACTCCAGCTTGACTTCTGATGGTGCTTTCGTCCTTGACCGGACAGGTGTAGGGCATATCTACTTTTCCTAAATGAGTCAACAACAGTTTGGCATCATTCATGGTATTCGATCTGTACTCGATAACAGTTCCGTCGTTCAGCCCCTCATGAAGATTGTTCACGTACTTGTTCTTAGCAGGATGGAAGAAGCAATTCTCCACGAGAAGATGCGCTTTTTCTGACGCTCCGATCGCGTACGTCCCCCAGTTCAAATACGAGTTCGCGCATACATGTACACGTCCGAATCGCGCGCGCGGCAGTCTAGAGATACACCCATCGAAAAAGTTGAAGGCAACAGTTACAGACATGACAGTGTCCCCTGTGTCTTTGTCGGAATTCCCGAGAAGAATCGTCTTCCACATGTGAGTGTAGTGGTTGTTGAGGATCGAGATCTCGCTTGAATGCGTAATGACATCCGTGCCTCCATCGCCCACGCCTGAGATGGTGCAGCCTTGAACGACGATCCTTGACGACAGTCTGATTGTCACTCCATCCAGTTTCGTCTTCGCAATACACAGGTTTTTGAACACTACATTCGACACCCTGTTGGCACTAAGTCCCCAACCAGTGATCCTCACCTTGTAACCTGACCCATCCACCGTCTTATCATTCGTGCATTCTACTCTGGACTTCAACGTGATGGTACAGTCTTGATCGAACTTAATGATGCGCTTCCCGGGCAGACCGCACCAATATCGAAGGGTGCTAATGCCACTGTCAGCGAAATTAGTAACAAACACGACGTCACCGCCGGCACCTCCGGTCGTGGCTTCGCCGAAGCCGAAGTAACCGCCGCTGTCACTAACATACTGCTGACCTGCCTTAGCCAGCGCCAACGTCAGACTTTCATCCAACTCACGGTGAGCAACATCGCCCGGAGCTCCAGCCAAATCCGCAGTGGCTGCTTGATGATGTTTGCCCTTGAGCAACTTGCGAATGGCGTTTTCAGAACCATACGCAGAGGATCGATCAGCGGCGGCCGTAGTCGCCGTCGGTAAACCCACTAAAGACGACAGAAAGAGAAGCAATACGGCAAGAGAGAGACCGCACCATCTCGTACATCTAGTGCCCGATTCCATCTTCTTCTCACCGCCGGGATGCTGAAACCCGCCCTACTCCGCGAAAACCGCTTTGCTATCGAATGAAGGATGTCCGTCGAAAATGGACCGGAACGAAAACGACTCAAGACGGACGAGTTGGACAATAACGCCGCGGCGCCTAAAAGCAGCTCAGTCCGGAGACTGTCATGCAGTGGAACAAGTGTTGCAAAACTGCCTGAAAAGCACGAGATCGGTAAAGCAGAGACAGTCAGAAACGGTTTTCAGATCATAAAAGCGCCAAAAACGCACCAATGCGCAAGGACACCGAGAGATAAATATCAAACACAAGGAGAAAAGGAAGAAGACAACGACTACCCGAGCTACCAAATCACAGACACAGAGAGAGAGAGAGAGAGGAGACTATCGTCTGATCGAAATGGAGGCGAAGACAGGGCAGCAGTGACGTTCCCAAGATCAACCTCACGAGATGGGCTCATACAAGTTCATCGAGGTTATGATTCCCAAGATCGAACCAACCTCCGGCAATAGGATAGGAATTGAATTGAATGCGCAGTGTGCATACGAGGAAGGAGATTGACCAGCCACAACTGAAGAGACGCATTAGCAGCAGAGAACAGAGCCGACGAAACAATGCCAAAGCAGGCCCCGCAGCAGCTATGGCGCTACGCCGCTATAACGCGGGCGTCACCTACGCTTACGGACCTCGCTATTTGAGATATACTATCAATAACTCCTTGCTAGAAATATACATTCGCATTTGCCCCACGCTTGCGGCGATCGACTTCGACTTGGACAGCGTGAGGACAGCCCAACGAGCATATCCAGACCAGACAGACGAGAAAGCCCAAGTGCCTAGAGTAGTTGCACCACCACCCGCCATTCACCAACATGTTGAACGCATGTGGACATGGAGACTGTCAACATGCATTCAGAGTCTTGGCCTCTGGCGAGTGGCGCTAGGAGCATACCCCTCTACCTCCCCGCTTCCTGGGTGCATACCCCTCCGAGTCTTCGGACTTGTCGAAGGCGTCGGATCCGTGGCCCCACCCCTCGACTCTGCCCTCGCCCAGGCGATCCCGTCTTCGGCCGTAACCATAACCAAGGGCATCGCTGCACTACTCTCGACGACATGCACAAAAGACAAAACTCATGGCGGCGTATCTCGCCATGTTTCTCGCGAAGATTCGCTCTCGTTTCGCGCACATTTTCGAGAGTTAGTGCAGCGCGAGGCCCCAAGTACGGACTCTCGTCCTCAATATTGAAAAGAAAAATTGCCTACCTATTGAAAATGAAAATTGCCGCCCTGAAAAACATTTTGCCGCCCTTCAAATTGCCGGCCGATTTCCCCCACCCAAAACAATAATAATAATAAATTAACAAATTGCCGGCCAAGGCCTGTGTGTCTTTGCCGTGCCACGTCACAGCCTTACACGATTTCCCAAGGCGTGAAAATATGTTTGCGGCCGTAGATACGGAGATCGAGTCCACCGATTCCCCTGCTCCTTTTTTCGCAGCCAGACGTCCATAGCAGAGGACCAAGCGGCGCTATTCACGAGATCAAGCACGCGCGGACGCCTGCGCGCCTTCGTTGTGGCTCTCATTCTTCCCACCGCTAGAAGCCCGACCCCGCCATAAGCCCGAACGTTGCCTGTGGGCCTCGCTCCAGTACTCCGCTACTGGCAAATTGTGGCGAAATGAGAATGAATTTGGCCATGGAACGCGGGAAGATGCGCCGCCATCATTCTCCTTGTGGCTCTCATTCTTCCCACCGCCAGAAACCCGACCCCGCCGTAAGCCCGAACGTTGCCTGTGGGCCTCGCGCCACTACTCCGCTACTGGCCAATTGTGGCGAGATGAGAATGAATTTTTGGCCTTTGAACGCGGGAAGATGCGCCGCCATCATTTTTGTCTTTTGTGCATCTTCTGGAGATTAGTGTCCTGCGATCGGACCGCCAAGCGCTGAGATCCGCCGATCACCGATCGGACTGCCGCGCGGCAGAGCCGTGGCTCTCCGGACCTCCGCGTTCGCGCCACGTACCGACCACAACAAGTTCAAATTGTTTTTTTTTTTTTTTTTTTTTTTTTTTTTTTTTTTTTTTTTTTTTTTCCTGTCAAAACCGCAACGGACCGACCGCCCGTAAGTTCGAGCTGCCACCAGGGGCCAAGTCCCATTCAGCCAAATTTTCGAATTTCGACCGTCGATACTGAAGATCGACGGCCGCAAATGAAAGGATCGGCCCAAGTGGGACTTGGCCCCGGGGGCGTGGTCCCACTAGCGAAGGGGGTCGGATCGGATCGAACGCGCCTGCATCTGGACGTTTGTAGAGAGGTGCAGGAAATCAAGATTGAACTGCTTTTTTGCATCTCTGCGTAAAGCACATCCCGATTCAGGCATTCGATCCGATCCTCTTTGCTAGTGGGACCTCGCCCCGGGTCTTCGTTTTTTTTTTTTTTTTTTTTCGGTGGAAGAAGAAAGCAGCAAGTTCGCGTTTTTGTGGTTTTGCTTTTTTCGTTTAGTTTTTCTTTTGCTGTTCCTGTCACTCTTTCTGAGCAGAAAGTGACAGAGGGACCTAAACTTCAACTGCTATTCGAGGGCCTGGGATCTTTCTAGAGGTGGACAGAAAACTGATAACAAAACAGTTATTCGACCCCGCAATTTGAGAAACAGCCCCACAATCGGACCATAATTTTCTTATTTTTATTTTTATTTTAAAGGCTAATTCTGGCCAACCAATTTTTTTTTATTTTTTTTTTTTTAACTGTCGCAGACAGAAAGTCAGGAGAAAACAAGAAAACAAAAAAAAAAAGCCTGTCGAATCTGGACAGGACAGCCGTTCAGGCCTTTTTTATTGACCAGAATAGAAATTCCCCCGTGTTTTGGAGGAAAGACAAAGGACGTCGCCACACCACTCGCCGAATGTGAAAAGGCCAAAACCTATGGCGGGCGTAGGTTTCGATGTTTTTGGGCCAGATACATGCTCCATTGTGCACAATTCTGGGAGTGGTGCGGCGAGGCCCAACAGACAGCGTTCAGTTTTCTTCTGCTGTCGGCGGACTGATGGGGATTCCGACAAACCCAGTCGTCCTGCTCAAAAAAATAAAAATAAAAAACAAAGATCTTCCTGCTCGTGGGATACCGCTAATCTCGGGATTTATGAGCCTAGCCCGGCTGAGCTAGCGGGGGCTCGTTGATCGGTTAGCTGGGTTCCAGGGCTCACGGGAATAGGGCCTCGCTCCACCAGTCTCGCCGGCCTCTAGAATTGGTATTTTAGGGAAAAAAAAAGTGAGAAAGAAGAAGACACAGCAATGGCGTGTGTTTCGTTCGTCGACCTCTAGGAGGCGAATATACACTCCCCATACCCGGGGCCAAGTCCCACTTACGCCGATCCTTGATTTCTGGTCGTTGATCTGCCAAATCTGCGGTAAGAAATTGATCATTCGGGTAAGTGGGACTTGGCCCCCGATACTCTGCTGCAGTGCAATACAGAGGCAACGCTGGAGGGGTCGAGCAAGCAAGTTTACCCGTACGACCCCTCCATAGCCCAGAAAAAATAATTTAATATCGTTGTGGCCCGATGGACCACTGATCAGAACAGACAGATACTACACTTGCCCGTACTTAGCCAAAAGGCCGAGAAAGGTATTGGGTGTATATTTCAATGTTTATGAGGAGTGTATCTTTCGATGTTTTTGCCGAATATAAATGCTCTATTTTGCACATTGTCAATCGGGAAGTGGCGAGACACCTGTTTGGACACCATGGAACGAGTCCCAGCCTCTGGAGGGCTAACTTTGGTCTCCCGATTTAAAGGTTTCTAAGGCCTGCAAGATTTTGTACTTCCTTGTTCCAGAGAATCCATAAATAAGGCAACTGAAGATAGATGATCCATAAGGGTTGAAAGACTCTATCTTCGTGTTTCAGAGAATCCATAGATAGCAGCATCTTTGGGGCACCGCTGTTTGCCCTGTTTAGGACTCTGCCCTACCAGTCTGGACACAGATTTAGCTGGCCTTGGGACTCACCATCATGATGAGGGGAACTTCAAAGGCAGTAGAGAGTGGTTCCCACGTCACAATAACCAAGTAACCTTCCGGCAATAACCAGGCAACCTCCCTAAGGGAAGGGTGGATAGCCACGGCCCTGACCAACCTATTAAATTTGTTAGTTGCGGAGGTTGAAAAGGTGTGTGCCGATACCTTTCTCGGCCTTTGGGCTAAGTAAGATCAAATGTAGTATCTGTTGTGATCAGTTCAATATCTGATCCGTTGTCCATTCGGGGGTACGGTGGGGTCATATGGGTAGGCTTGCTTACTCGATCCCTCTGAGTTACCTCTGTATTGCACTGCGGCAGAGCATAGCTCGCCTCATTCTCCCTTCCAAGGGGGGGGGGGGGAGATGTGCGCCAGCATAGGGCTCCAACACTGGGGCTCCAACACTGGCGTGAACAGCTTTTGCTAGCGTGTGTAGACGTAGGAGAGCTGTTACAGAGGGAGTTACAAAAAAAGAGAGATGGTGGCAAGTCAACAGCAAAGAGTTAAATCTGAACGGGCAGGTCACTCACCGCCAAAAGGGATGTCAAACCTTGGCCTGGGCCTTCCAATGTGCGCTAAACTTTACCACAAGCCTCCGAAATTTTCATTGGCCATGAAAGATTTCTCCACAAGGCTTGGGCCGTGTAGTAGTTGTTTAAACTGCCAGTACTTGGCCCAGCCTGTGTTGCACCCCGTACGTCGTACGGAGCTTCTGTCGTACGGCCGTACAGACGGCCGTACGGCCGGTCCCGTACAAAGTGACGAACCGCCCCCCCCCAAAAAAAAGTAAAAAAATAAAAAATAAAAAAAAATGGGGATGTAGAGCTTTTCGTGCTCTAGACCCCCATATTTTTTATTTTATTTCTTTGTCTTTTTATATATTTTTAAAAAATAAAAAACATCAAAATGCGAAAACAAAACAAAACAAAATAAAGAAATAAAAATTGATCGATTGATTGATTGATTGATTGATTGATTGATTGATTGATTGATTGATTGATGATTGATTGATTGATTGATTGATTGATTTATGATTGATTGATTAATGAAAAAATAAAAAGAAAAAAATGATGCTGCGCACCTTTTTTTATTTATTGATTGATTGTTTTTTTGGGGGGGAACAAGGTTCCAATCTATTCGTGGGGAGCAGCACGTACTGGGAACTGGGCCCAGCGTCCCATATGGAAATTTACATAAAACTTTGAAGATTGAGATACCGGGGTCATTACCCGGCTTTGGCTCAGAAAAAATCGATCCATCCACTGTAGCTCACTCCGGCAAGGCTTACTACAGCGGAGCCACCATCTCCGCTGCTGCTATGCCCTATTCCCATCCTACCAGCTAGCCCCCTCACTAGTAAGACGCGTGATATCCCACCATTTCCTTCCCCACTCCCCCTCGTTCTTTTTGGCTCAAAAAGTTGGAACTACTTAGGAACTGACTACAACAGACGTCAAGAATAAGCAGGTTACTCGGACCCCACCCCCCCGCATCAATCCTCTATACCTCACTCCGGCAAGACTTACTGCAGCAGAGCCACCATCTCCACTGCTGCTATACCCTATTCCAATCCTACCAGCTAGCCCCCTCACTAGTAGGACGCATGTTATCCCGCCGTCTCCTTCTCCCAC